ATGAAGAATAATTTGGGCTGGTTTTGACTACTACCATTGCACTGCAGGTACATAACAAATTCGTTACACTATCTGCCAATGTAACCTGATTTTCACACAATTCAGAAAATTGCCTTCGCCATGTGCAGAATAAGGGACTCTGGAGAATGGCAAATCTTCAATGTGTGGGATTTTTACTACCCTCTTATTTATTTTGGATGCGACTAATTGAGCACATCCGACTTGTATGCGTTTCAACGTTCCAATCTTTCTGCATCATTATATGCATTACGTCTTCCTGGTTATAATCCCCGATAAATAAGGGGAACATAATATTATAAAAAGCAATGTGACATCAATTTTTTTGATTATATTTAACCTCTGCAATTACGAGTTTGCTCATATTTACTAAGCCATCTTTTTGCATGAGATCTGCATGACCCACTGTAAAATAGCCTAAAGTTCCATTTTACTCCACCTCATTTTGATACTGACCGTAAAATAGCGTAAAATCCGTGCTCACGTTTTACGATTCTTCACTTCAAATGCTTCATTTGTGCTCATAAATTCTGCCGCTAAACATTTTGTGCTCATCATTTATATCCGACATCACCACATTTTGAAAGCACAACTATCAAATGAATCACTTCTAAGTTGAGCACAAACGATCCACCAGAAGCAACTGCCTGCCCAGATGGTATTTTTGTGGCAATTTAAGCGTACAAAATTTAGCCGCAGCATTTCTAATTTCTAGTTCTCATGGCCTTCTTACTGCTTGATGAAAACAATACAGCACATTGTTACTTTGACAAAATGGCACGAGACATTTATGTGGAAAGAAGCAGTATATCGTCAACCATCTTCTAATGCTCGTTAATTGTGCATAGTCCAGTAGGGGCTCATTTAAGATTTTAGCAGCTATTTTGTGAATTACTAAAGGCCCACATGAAGCTACGAGGGACGAGCTACCGTGATCCTTAAGCGCCAAACACTTTCAGATAACGCGAATTTCGCACTGATCCCGTGACGGACACCACAGATATCACATGTTATTCCAAAAATTTGCATGTCATTAATGTCATTCCAATGTGAAAGCCGAAAATTTTAAAATTGTATCACTTGCCCGTAGATATTCACTTATTCACTCCATTGGGTCAACCTTTCGGATTCATTTCTCATCAGGTTACATTATAAGCTGTCCGATAGTGTAATGCGAGTAGATGTCTTGGTGTGCCGTCTTGCCTACATACCCGCTATTTTCCACTGGTTAGATTTAAATCTGGTCTTTCCATATGACTGGCGCCAACTACAGATCTTCTCTTTTTTTTATTACAGTAAACAGTAGAGACATAACCAGATACTGAGACAAAACCCTCAAACACTCTAACTGAACCGAACTGCTGAATAGCTAGAGTTTGTAAAATCTTTAATCAAAAAACTGCAAACATACAGTAGAGGTATGGTAAGATGAAATAATTTGTCGCAGACCGACTGTGGGAGAGGCAGATGGCGAAACGTGACCAAATTTTGACTTTCAAACTCATTGATTTAATCAAACAAACTCGACTACTTCTTAGCATCAGTCTCACGTATTTATCTAGACCGTAAAACCAACCCATTTGATCAAAGTCTCTTCACTTAAGTAGATAAATTTAGACAAAGTATTGATCAGGTGTGTATCAATTTGACTTGTTTAGAGTTAAACAGGCGCAGTTTTTCTACCACAAACAAGGCAGTCTACACACTTCAGATTCATTCAAAAAATGGCAGTTTTGGTTTATTTCAATGGAGCCTAATCACAGGTTTTGCCTTGCTCCAAGTTATTCGTTTAATAGATTAAAAGGGAAAAGCATGTTATAAGTTGGATAGAGTGCTGCATAGTGAGAAGCACTTGAGAAATATCCAGGTTGCCGTTGTAACATTTATGCTACAAGAGTCACATATATGTGCCAGGTGTTTCCCGTCTACTCTATCCATTTGATTTTATTGAATCACACTCAAAGCACAACACCTATTAGGAGTTTTAACCGAATTAAAACAACGGTTATAGTTTTTTTTTGAGTTAGGGAAATATAATTTATCCGTCGTACAAAAGACTTTTGATGTTGGTTTGAATCCAACCGCAATTCATCAGCTCGACAAATCTATTGTAATCTGAAATCACTCTCATTTACTTTCTCCTTCACTCCCTGTACCTGGCCTTTTGGAGGCTTAACATCTTATTCAGGCCAATGCGATTGGTCCAGACTGAGAGTGAGGTGGGTATATCAGCAACCATTCAGTGGATGGCAAGCCAATAGTCTACGGAGAGTGCTAGGGTC